AATTAAAAAAATTATTTGTATATAGTATTCACACTAAATTTGTAAATCTTTAGGTCTAATGCAAGTTAATCATATACATAATATTTATTGTTATTGATCAAATAACCAATTAGAGTAGTTGTGCAATATGTGATGCTATGCAGGACCAGTACAATCACACACACACAGCTCCATTACTGCTATCGACCCATTTTCTATTTCTTTTATTTTTTATTTTATTTTATACTTTTTTTTTTTTTTATAACCTGAAAATTAGAAAGAAGTATAAATCCTTACCATAGTAAGAAAATCAAATATATTTAATATATTAAATATATTTCATATATCAAATATATTGTATATATCATATTTATTAAATTTAGTAGGCTTATATGAGTGTCATCAGTGAAACCTGTTATTGAGAACGAATTATGACAATTAATTAATCATGCAAAAGATTAAAATATCACAATAATTATATATTTTAAATAGCAATCAAAATTTTCCACACTCAGATCACAGTTTTTGGGTATTGCCAATCAAAAATATTAAAACCGACAAACACTAAATTAGAATAGAACTATTACTGTTGTAATTTTCTCATGATCATTTATACCACTATATATGCATTATGAAGTAATAATTATAATATCTATTAAATTAGGAAAAAAAATGATAGCTATAATGCCTTCTAAAATAGGAAATAATATAGCATACCAAAAGTTAAACAGTACCATCTCTCTACATTTTATGTGATTGTACTGGTAAAATGATCTATATTATCAGAAACATATTCAAATTTCTAATTTATTTTATTATTGATTTGTTAGAGTAATATTAGAGCAGTGTAACTTCTAATATTCAAAAAAAAGATCTATTGAGACCTAGTACAAGTTTACATAAAACATAACTACACCAAAATTATGTCAACAAAATTTAATGTAAATGTTGTGATTTTAGTATTAATAACTTAAAAATTTTGGTTAACAATATGAAAGTGTTATTTAGCTATCACAGGTCAAATAAGCTATATCAGGAATATGCAAGCTAAGTAAAAATCAAAGATATATCAGAAGCTGATATGTGCTGATAGTTAGTATCAAAATATTATAAAGCTATTGGGAATATCGATAAACCTATTGAAATATTCAAAAATAGCCTGATATGTTTTAATAATATAGGGATAAAATCAGAAACATATCAAAATTTTGATATATATATTAATAAATTTATAGAGTTATGATTTTTTCTAAATAGTTATATATATTTTAAAGTAATATCAGTAAAATATCGAAGTGCTGATAGCTATATCAGTAATTAATAAATCAGATAAAAACTGTATTATACTGACAACAGATTTATGTCTATAATTATTTGAAATTTAGCTGATAAACCTTATATATATATGAAAATATTAGATACTATTGATGTAAAACTTTTAAATTTTTACTTAAAATAATTACAAATTTAAATATAAAACTTTCTATTAACTAGAATGACAGATATATATTCTTGTAGATTTTTCCTGACTACAACTGCTCAAAATAGAGCTTGAGTTAAAAAAGATGTGTATATAGCACCTAATAGTGACCAAGCATCAATATCTGATTTTTACAACTCTAACTATTGTTATCAAAATAGAATTAGTATTAAAAAGTATGAACTTAAGGCATCTATTGGTTATCAAAAAGCTACAAGAATAAATCACTCTGTTAGAATGAATAATCTTAGTCAGAATTACAAAATAAAATAGAAATTAAAATAGAGTCTAGTGTAAAAAATTGTAAACCACAAGAAGGGTCATTAAGCCAAACCTATCTGCATTGCAAGTCTTACTCTATAAAAGTAAATAAAAGAAAATATTAAAACATTATAAAATTTGAAGAAATTGTTAAGCTAATAAAAATTATAAGAATAATCATTGCATTCAAAATATAAAAAAAATTAAGCATAATACATACAACTATCATCAAGAATTCAGAAAAAATTAGTACAAATTATTTGGATGATATTGGTGATCCAAGAAAATTAGCAATTCAAAAGAATCATATCAAATGAAATCTTGCTATAAGAATATAATTCAAATTAAAAATTATAATATAAAATTAGTTGAAAACAAAAATTGATTAAATGTTTGGTTTTAAAGGATTGTATACAAAATGGAATCAACAATAAAAGACTTGAAGAAAATATTAGCAGAATAAATAATGTTAAATATTATGATGATGGAATTAGAATAATGAAGAATGATCATAAAGCATTTGGAGAAAATGTAAATATGTTAAAAGTGAAAAATTGTTAGAAAATAAGTTTGAAGATGATAACAATAAATTGGAAGAAGAGTTAGAAAGTATAATACAATGAATTGAAGATATAAGTAAAAATATAATCAAGATAATATAATTTGTATAGATACAAAAGCTAAAAATATAATCAAAGTTAAAAAAAATTGAAGAGATAAATAAAGAAGTTAGTAAAAATAATGATAAAGAATCCAAATAAAAAAAAAAAAAAGATTTATCTTAGTTGAGCAACAAGCTAGCTTTGAAGCTCAAATATACAAATAAAATACCTAACAATAAAACTACAAAAGATGGATATAAGTCATTTAACATAAAGATGTGTGAAAAATTATATGCCAAAGTAAATAGATCAGTAAAATTAAAATCAAATAAGGACAAGAAATATGAATTGTATATAAATCACTTCAGCAATAGCAACTTGAACAAACAATACAGTGCTAGATAATATTATGAAGATACCAAAGTGGTGAGTTTAGTTAGAAAAGAATATGAAAATAGAATTTGAAAGTAATAAAAAAACAAGCATGTTAATAAAAATAGAACTTGATTAGTTAAACCCACCAAGAGAAATCACGTTATAGGTGAATTGAAATATATTTACTTTGCTTGGGCTATAAAGAAATTTTTTATTTCATATATAAACCCCAACTTGCCAAAAGGATTAACTAATATACCTTGACTCTTTTAGACTGGACCAAATTCGCATTCGACTTTAGAAAAAGAATTCAAAGAAAGATACTAACAAAACAATTAAAGAAATGAAAAAAAACTTTTATCAAATAATTTGAATCTGAATTATCTAAATTTTTCATAACATAACTCCCTGACATCAAATAAGCACATGATACAAAAAAAAGGAGATTTTTGCTAGTAAAGACTTTGCTGGTATACAGATTCACAGAACTCATCCTTCAAGCAAAGAAATATATTATGCAACTAATGATATGTTATACAAAGAAATGTAACAATATAATCATTAGTATTAGTAATTGCTTTACTAATAGTCATGAAAAAAATTAGGTATAAAAGAGACTAAAAGAGAAAAAGTAGTTCGTTGGTCACTTAGTTAGTTCTTCTTTTAGTTGGTTAGAAAGTTGGATTTGTGAATAGTATTCTGGAAGTACTTCTTGAACTTAGTAGAAATTAAAAAATTTTGGTTACTACAGTACTTACAAAAGTTTTCCCACACTTGTAATTTCTAAAAATTTATGTTTAGAAGTATGAATTTTTATACAGACATAGTGCATCATGTATACAGATTGTATTGAACTTCTTCAGATACTGTATATAGTAAAAATACTTATTCTCCTTATATACAGTCGACTCTGGATATACCGAACCTGGTTATACCAAAATCGGATTATAACAAACCAAATTTGGCAGAACTGATTTTTAATAATAATTTAGGCTGGTTATACCAAACTTAAATATCAAATTTTTATATACTGCATCTGAACCCTTCTTTACTAGCCCATGACTATCTATACATATTTCGATATAACAAACTAAAATAGGCAACATTTGAAATTTTCATTCGCCTTTTCAATTTTACAGTTATTGTAAAAATCTTTGAATATTCGGAAGATGTATCAAATAGAAGATACGAATAAATCATTATGCAATACTACAGTTAAAATAAAAATTTATAAAAACATTTCAAAATTATTAATGACAAAGAAAGATCTCTCATTTTAATTAATTAAATCAGTATTCTAACAGCTTATTCACATTTTATTTTTTCTCATCATTCATATTAAGATATATTGCAACTACTGTACTTTTTCATATTGTTCTCCTAAAATGCATCGCAGCTGCATGCATTGTAGCTGCACATATTGCAGCGACTTTTTGAATAAGGTGTCCAAAAATCCACAATTTTATTTCATTATTTTTTGCTATAGATTTTTGTAGCTAATCCAGCTAGCAATATTGATATTGTATAGATCTTTGCAGGAATTTGATTCGATTTAAGCCAATCATCAAGGATTATTTTGGGTTAACAATAAGCTACTCAAATTCTAATTATTACAGCTGTTCTCATAAATTCTGGGGCAACTGATAAAAACTGACAAATGATTATTCGGCCAGATTTGATAAGTTTTTGAATTCGGTGTTATTAGCATTATTGCAATGCCATAAATCCAATGTTGATAACACAGAATTCAGAAACTTATCGAATTCAGCTGAATAATCATCAGTCAATTTTCATCAGTTGTCTCAGTATTTATAAAAACAGCTGTAAATGCACTATTTAATTGCGAATTCTGCCAGTCGCATGTGTGCTGCAAAATTTGCAGAATTCTAAACAGCCTATTCTCGTGATATATTGCAATATTATGAGTAAAGTAACAAATTTTGTGAATATTTTTTCTTTTTTGCATTACATTTTGTTCGCCTTGCTCTGTCAAAACAATGGGTATAGATAAAAAAGAATTGTCAGCTAATAACTTGCACAATTCAAAAAAAAAAACAATAATTACTAATTATTCTATTGTTTTAATTTCCTTTCATAAATTATAAATTACAAAACTGGACTATCTTATTCTCGTCCAATAATGGTTTTAATCTGATTATCTATTTTTGCAAAACAATAAAAATAAAATTATAATTTTATTAATGTGTATACATATGAATCATAAAATTTCTATATTAAAATATGGTAACATTACCTGTAGTTTATAAATATACAGTATTTATAGTTTAATATATCTTGATATTATGTCAACAAAAAAACGAGTTGTTCTTACTGCTGCACAAAAACATGAAATTTGCAAAGCAAAAGAAAAAAATCCAAATATTAAAAACATAGACCTCGCAAACCAGTATTCTGTCGGTAAGTTAACAATAACTGATATTTTAAAAGAAAAGGAAAGATGGTTAGCTATTGCAGTTGAAAAACAAGGAGAGATAAAAAAATTTCACAGACCAAAATGGCCAAAAATTGAAGAAGCTCTTGGTCTCTGGGTAGATAATGCACTTAATACTGGACAAGATATTGATAGTCACATTCTCAAGACAAAAGCAAAGTTTTTTGCTGATCGCCTTTGTATTAAAGATTTTTATCAGTCTGATGGTTGGCTTACTGGTTTCAAAAAGCGTAATAGACTCCATCAATTTAAAAAAGAAGGTGAAGTGGCAAGTGTACCTTCTATAGAAGAAATAGCAGAAGAACAGCTTAGATTACAAAACTTACTTCAACTTTATGATCTTGAAAATATTTGGAATGCCGATAAGACTGGGCTCTATTGGAAAATGGAACCTTCTCGTGTTTTAGCTCGTTCAAAATTGGCAGGACACAAAAAAGCAAAAACACTTGCAACAATATTTTGTGCTGTAAATGCAAGCGGAACTGAAAAAATGAAGCTAGCATTTATTCATACTTCCAAGAGACCCCATTCTATGCGAAATATTAATTATGATAATCTTCCTGTTTATTATTATTGGAACCAAAAAGCTTGGATGAAAACTACTATCTTTAATAAACTTCTTCTCGAGCTTAACAAGAGAATGAGCCAAAGACATCGAAAAATTATACTTTTAGTTGACCAAGAATTAGTACAGTCTGTTCTTGATAAAACTCAAAGCCAACTAGATTATGTAAAGGTAGAATTTTTTCTAGCGTATACGACTCCTGTTCTCCAACCTTGTGATGCAGGAATTATCTATTTGTTCAAGTGCCACTACAAAACTCTCTTTGTTCAAAATAGAATTAGTGCTTATGATGATCTGCAAAATGGAGTAACAAAAGAGATGGCTGAATATAATGTTTATAATGCTATACTTAACGTAGCTGAAGTATGGTCTATGGTATCATCAAATACTATTAAAAACTGTT